AGGCATCTGTGGAGGATGGATAGGGTGCTTATTGTACCTGTCGTTCTCTCCTGTACAGGTGTGATACCACACACACTACACAAAAGCCTGGGAACATTACAATTGAATAGAAATACATACATCACACTACAGAAGGTCACTATATTGAATACATGCCACATTGTTAGGAAATTCCTGAATACAGACACTGACACTGACACACTTATTTAGTTTTAGTTCTGTTTTGGTTGCTATGCCTTGACTCTGGTCCAGCATAGTACACAGCCACCGGTGTCAACCAAGTATAATTCACTAAACCCAACGTAATAATAAGTAAAATCTTCAAGTCAAACTCAACTCAAGATATGAAACATGATCCCTCTCTACCTCTCACATCCTCAATCTTTTAACAACCAAAACACAGCAGCAGTCCCCTAATATACAAACTTATCTGCAAAATATCAGAAATTTTTGACAAAAGGAGTTAAGCTTCAAAATGGGTGAACAAAATCATTCCCACACACAAACTAACATCCATACATACAGAAAAAAATTCAACTTGCTTTGTATTTCTTGGCATTTCAAGTCTTCACCAAGATTTTTACATTTTTGGACTGAAGATCATTTTTTGACCATTTGCCATACTTTCCCTCTGTTATGTATAACAGCCAGGAAAGTAAAACGTTTAAATGCTAAAATTTTTTATATATATGCAAGGTAGGAAATTAATAATTCAAGTATTTATAGCAATATAATTTATCAATATGAACTTATGTAGTAGATTATCTAATGACAGTTTTCTGGAACCAGATGTCACAAAAATTGATAATTTATTGTACTTGTTTTTAGTAGCAAACAACTAATAAATAATTATTTAAGGGACAATTCATTATAGTCATGTTTTCATGTTAAAATTAACAATGATTATAAATATTTATATGTTAGCAAATACAGCTTTGGGCTTTGTTGGAATGTACAAAAGTTTATCATTTTTCATTTTGCATAAAATCATCATGTTTTTCACTGATGATAATCAGATATTAATAAATATATTCACAAGGTATATAGCTTGCTGTTTGATCAATCTTTAATAATTATTTATGATGTTAACATTATCCATTATTACTTTATTTAATTATATTAAAATTATGTTTTAGAAATTTTATGATTATAATTATAATTATTCAATGATTTTTAGAATATTTCTTTTTTCTATATTTTTTCTAAATCACTTATTTTCATATACAGAAATATGAAGCTGTGATTGAAATTATTGCTAACTTATCAAATCAAGTTTTACAGGTTCTTCATCAAATCAAATTTATAGAAGGAAAAGTATGTACTGTATCTAATTTTACAAATAGTTCTTTTTTATTTTAATATACTATTTATAAATATATATTTTAAAATATATGTTACTGCTAAAGCTTGAAATCCGTTAATGGGTACCTAGCTAATCTGCAGATTAACTAGGGTGATCCGTTAAAGTTGCGAAAATTATTCCATTTCTCAAATTACCTAGGTAATCTGCAAATTACCTACTAGGCACTCGGTAAAGTTAAAATAAGATCTTTGCTGGAACAACACAACGTTTCTGTACGCTTAAATTAACATAATGTTCTTTATTTAATTTTCAATATCTAAAGAATCAAGTTAATACAATCAACAAATTAGTTGATTGAATCAATCATCAATCAATTAAAAAAACTTTAATACAAAAATCAAACGGTTTAAAATATTATTACAATTAGGGAAATGAATTTGCAAAACATATGATAAAATTGTACTTACTTATTAGTGCAATCTAAAGATTGGTGACA